GAAGCTTTGCTTCTGATTACATTAGTCACAATTTTCTCCCGAAATTCAGGATTAATACTTTCCTCAATCTTAGGAAAACTCAACAAACCATTTCAGATAATGTTTTAGCATTTTCTTATCTGAAAACATCTGGTAGCAATCATGCCTAATAAATCATTTATGATCTTCGAAATATTTGACATTTTGTTACAACATGTGTTATCTCAAGAGCTATTTTAATTTGTAATATTTTTTATAATCTTTTATTCAATGTAACCTTCGAAAGATAGCCCGGATGAAAAAAGCGGAAGATCTTTCTTAGTAGCCTTTCGAAGCGTATGTTCACCAGTGTACGATGACGGTAAATCTTTGAAATATCTTAGCCAAAATCGACAGCTAAAACCAAACACGTCTTTCAGCATCTCCTCCAAATACCATAATCTCGTAACACCTAAATCCACAGATGCTAGTTGCTACAGATCCCGTGTAGAGCCGATGATCGCGTGCGCAAGGTGACCGAGCCGCGTTGACCGTGCCAATGGCTACATGTCCCGGATCAATATTCTATACCAATAGAACATGTTGCTACTGGACACAAATCAAGATATCCGTTATTGAATTAAAGTTCTAGAATATTAAATGAAACACGTGTAATCTCGTGAATTTCACCTGAAGCACGATCGGTGGATACCGATATGTAGTAGAGTTTCTTACAACTGAAAGCTATTTCAGCAAGCTGAAGTGGCAGTGGGCAGGGCACATAGTACGCAGAACTGACGGCCGATGGGGCAGCAAGATTCTGGAATGGAGGCCGCGTACCGGAAAACGCATCGTTGGACGTCCACCCACAAGGTGGACCGACGACCTGTTAAGGTAGCAGGAAGGTGCTGGATGCAGGCTACCAACCGTGCGATGTGGAAGTCATTGGCTGAAATGATGATGATGAAGCTATTTCCCAGCTACGATACTAGAAAAGGGTAGTTGACAAGCAATATTCCGATTGAGCCATATCAGACGCTATGGGTTCATTAAGTCTGACGCTAGGGTTATGACCTCAGTTTCAATCCACATGATATAAGAAGACTATTAGTACCAATAGCACACCAACTCTATACAAAATCTTAGCAAAATCGCATCTATCCTAACGACATAAGACGCCACAGTTTAGCACGATTTGCTATCTTCCTAAAGCTTGCACTTGCGCGGGCGCAAGGTGAGCGGGCCGCGTTGACACCGTGCCAATCTCGCAGAAATAATAACGACAAACATAATGCATTCGCTTAAAAGAACAAAAACAAAACAAACACGAATGTATTTTTGAATCCCAACGCTCTGAATCCGCGGATATTTTGAAGTAATGTGGGTTTTTATTTACTGAACCAAATGGGATTTACTACCTGCTAGGTAAATGTTTGGGCTTCGTTAATTGAAGCAACCTAATGGGTACACTAAAGATGACGTCATCAGTCTAGTGATATGCTTTTAATGAGTTTTCAAGCTGGTTTTAATTAAATACTAAAGTCAGTCTTCGACTCTACGCGAGGAAATAATTAGTTTTCTAAAGTAGATCTTCAACATTCACGATCATATTAATTTCAAATCTATCAAGACTTATATGAGATAACTTAATGTATAATAACGAAGTTTTATTTAGGTAAGTATAAAAAATAATCTACCGACGTTAAATGTATTGTTGTATAACCCTACGCAATGAAAGCCACCCCAGGCAGTAATTACTGCCGATCTATTGAATACAGAACCAAACAATACGGATGCTGAGCGATTGAATTGAAAAGATAACAGGCGGATATCTATTCAGACTGTAAGTACTATTTCAGTTTGTTTCATGTAGATACAGTCCACATAAAAAATATGTTTTAACAAACAGGATAAACACCCGTATTCACAAACGATGCTTGCTTAAGTGAAGCAGCAAATTGAACGCACAGCGTCGAATAGAGCTCTGTGATTGGTTCGTGTGTGTGCGTCCACGCGCACTGTGAGACCTTATAGTAATGTTTGTGAATAAGGGCGACTTAAAAAATTACGTTTTAACAAAGTCGGTCTTCTTTTTCACCGTTCTCAGGGTTTTATTTCTTGCATACGCTTGCGATGTTCATTTATCATTAGGACTAGGGTTAAATGTTTGTTAACATTTGTTTTTTGACAGTTTGTTAAAAAAATGATTTAATTTAGTCATGACGGGATTACAAACATCTTTAAAATGCTTTTAATCCTCTAAGTGTAACTACAATCTTAGCTATTATCCTATCGCAACAAAATGTAATATAATGTAAACATCCAAAAATTAACAAGATCGGCTCTTAAAAAGGTATCAATTGAATACAGCCTAAAACAACACTCAAGACTTCTTCAAAAAGCACTCTAGTTTAACTTTCTGGGTAGAAATGAGTAATGGAGAAATTTTCAGAAACTATCATACATAAACAAAGAGTTTAATTGAACAATTTTCAACAAATCCCACTTGTATTTTAGCGCGAAAAAAGAGTTTAAGTGGATAATTTTCAGACTTATTTTCCCACAACTAGGCACCCGTCAGATATTTTTTGAGTCGAGTTAATAATGAGGAAACTAGTTGAAGGAAATGGTGAAAACAATTACGGAAAACAATCCATAAGTTTGTGATCAAAAGGTAAAGTTCTAAATAAAGTTTAAAATAGCGATTCGTATTCGATTTTGGTTTCAAAACGTAAGTCCTCACGCGACATCAGTCCGTCATCTCGCATCCTCCACAGAACAGAGCGTCGCGCGCATCTCAATTAGACGAACAATGCCGCTAATTATACCGCAGGTGCAGTTAACGATTTGAACCGATTTACGAGTCTATTGTATCTAATACTAGCTGACCCGGCGAACTTTGTTCCGCCTTAATGGCAATAAATAAGCAGACTTTTTTTTAATTTCGAACGGGATAAAAAGTATCCTATGTCCTTCTCCTGGCTCTAAACTACCTCCCGGACAATTTTCAGCTAAATCGGTTCGGCCGTTCTTGAGTTATAAGTGGAGTAACTAACACGACTTTCTTTTATATATATACATAGATTGAAAGAGAAATAGACAATTTAGCGGAATTCGGGCAAGAACGCAACACGTGTGATTATTTGACATTGTATGATATTTGATCAAATCAGTAATAATAATATGTCACGGTAGCAAGGATATTGCATGATCGAATATTTGGTTACAATTCGGACGCGATGAGACGAGAGATTTGCCGAGTGCCGAATAAAAATAATACCCGGCCTATCATTTTTGGCTCCTCAAAAACTCAAAATTAGCCTATTTCTTAAAAAGGCAATAAAAAATAGTGAAGAGATGGATAACGATGATAAAAGAGTTTTTCGTTTAATAAGAAAAAGGATAAAAGAAAAAATCAAATCGTAACTTGGAGCATCACGTGACGCGTTTTATAAATCGCTTAGGCGCTCTATGCGCGCGCGCCTACCGCGTTGATGTCGTACGTAAGAGCCCGATGGCCTACAGAACGCGCGAACCCCCGCCCGCCCTGGGATGACAGAGCACTATACATTGCTTGTTCTCTACGCCCAACTGTATTCAAACATTTTGCCGTCTGAAAATACCGGCTAGTTCAGTGATTCGTCCCACAACAGTTTCGCCCCACTGGGACGAAACACTGAATTCAAAAAAATATATTTTTTTCGTTCTGGATTCGTCCCATTTAATTTATTCTTTAACATAATAAGATTTAGTACCGTCAGAAAGTCAATGAAATAAAATAAAACATGAATTTGCTAACAATTTCTGTATTTAAAAGAAAATCAACACGTGAATATACTCATAGATCAGCAAAAAAATTTAATAAATAAAATTTAAAATCATTGATAATATTCATTCAGAGATTCATTAAGCTGTGATTTCTTATTAATAGAAGTAGTTAAGATTTTCTATTTCCTTTTAAATACAGACATTGTTAACATTCATGTTTTCTTTTGTTTCATTGACATTCTGACGGTACTAAATCTCATTATGTTAAAGAATAAATTAAATGGGACGAATCCAGAACGAAAAAAATATATTTTTTTGAATTCAGTGTTTCGTCCCAGTGGGACGAAACTGTTGTGGGACGAATCACTGAACTAGCCAAAATACCTACCTTCAGTACGTTTTATTTGAACAAGGATAAACAACCCAATGTTTATTTTCTTTAGGATTTGTTAACTGTCTCTATCTATGTACGCGTAAGTTATTATTTACATTTATTACACAAAGTAGATAAGAAAAATGAGAAAATGTTTACATAAGAGCCAACGATTGATAGCAAAACAATAGGTACAATCTGCTCATTAAAATATTGCAACACGATTGCGGGTGAAAAAATTCTTTGGTCCTTTGTTCTTGGAAACTTGATGACATATCGAATACTATTTTTAAGCCAACACAACGTCAATTTCGCACGTTTGAAAAGCAATAGGTGTCTCTTTCTTTAAGAAATCGTCTGTGTCGTGAACATGACGTGAATTTTGATAACCGATTGGCGAGCGAGTGCGTCAGTCACGGACGCAACAAACAATACAACGCTAGTACTGTGGTCTGGAATAAGACACTAAGCATATATTTTCTTTCACCTGATGGTAGGATCTTATGACAGACAGGATAATGGTATGGCAATACCGAGGTGCAAATCCTCTTACGCCACCCCACCGTGAAAGCCGGAACACAATACGGATTGACAAGTTACAGGGAGTGCAATCAGCTTGCACTTATACCTACCACATTAGCTAATACAGATAAACACTTGAGCGCAAACGTCCGACTTTCACATCCTCGGCCAGGACGGCACCTCGCTATCTTGGATCACGATATCTGACAAACATTCAGGTGGCGTTGCGCAAAGTAAATACACATGACCTTGGGCACAAAAGCGCGCCGGTTTCGCGAGATAGCGGCGTTATCGCCACACCGAAAAATGTATATGGTCAACGAGAGTTGTGCACCTTGAACGGCGCCGTGTGACGTTGCGTAACTTAGAGATCACTGACCTGTGTAACCATGTCCCAGTAGAATCCGTCGAGCATAGACTTTCCATGTTGGTGCTGCCTGCAGAGCGCGGGCCAGAGAGCGGCGCGCACGGGGCTGTTGATGGGCCAGGAGTTCTCTCTGATGAGTATCTTGAGTTCGCGCTTGCGGGCTTGCTGGATCAGGGGTTGTATCTCTTCGAAGGTCTTGAGGGGCGCTTTCTTGCCTGCGAATAACGGGGTGGGTAAGCACTGTGTCCAGACTGTGGGGTGCTCGGAGCCGGCGAGGGACTCCGCGCTGGGCGCGCGAAACGCGGCCGGTTCTATGTACATCGCAGAGGCGGCGCGCAACACATGCTCCGTCTGCGCACGCGACGGCGGCACTGCCGCCCGCCGCAGCGAGCCTGCCAGCCTCCGGAAAATGCGATAGCACGCCGGCACTGTCACACTTCGATTGTTTATTTGACCGTGTGACGCGGCACGGCCTTATCGACCGCGCCGAATTTATTTTTTTCTGAACTCATTCTAAAAATATCTTTATTTTCTTTATGATGCTATAAATAACTTAATGATGTTAATTTACTACAAACATTAATTAGAATCTTTCCATCGTTGTATTTTTCCTATGTCAGATAAATTACAAGTAAACAATGTGTACCTACATTGTACATAGTCCAATATCATCACATCATGGAATCGTGTACGAATCTAAAACAGTTATCAAATCATGGCGAAACGCAATATTCTGGCTGCGCGCCAAGCGAACGAAATTTTCGTAGTGCATACGTAATGCTACCCAGACTACATACCGGTAAAAGAAACATACCGGCTAATGCTAAACATTAAAAACTTGTATTACAGTTGTCTTGAATTAGTCAAAACAATGTCATTAAATGTAATCACAATATCGTAAAAATAAATTGCTTTAACATTAAAAAATAATGATGATTAGTTCATTGCTTCTTTACTAGTCATTAACATTTTAAACAAATATAATGGACTAAAAAAAGATTCCCTTGAAAGTGCACAAGTTAACCGAGATATTCTTATAATGATAGGATATACTTTTAACGAAATCTCCCAAATATTTACCCTAAATTAAGGTCATAAAGACCTACCACTAACATTGCAGCGTTAAGTAAACAAGGCTGTGATAACGCTCGCTATCTGAGCGTCTCAGAGGTGTACCGATTAACGCGCGGCACTACAAAATATTTAAACTATTTAATAAATGAATCACGACGTTACATTTAGATGCCGGACGATAATTATAATAATTAGTTTGCACTGCGCTTCCTCACCTTTTACCGCATCTTGTAATTGCTGTGCTAACATTGGTTTGGTAAATAAATATGGAGTGTTTCGATTTGATCTAGCATTACCGGTATATATTATTTATACATCGGCCTAACGAGAGGACCGAATAATATACTATCAATCAATCACAGTCAATACCGTGGAGAGTATTAGGAAAAATCTTTATCGATATTGTCGATTCGATAGCACAAACGTTAATAATATGACTGATGTAGGTGAAGTGAACGCAATATTTTTCTGCAACAATAATTGAACGTGGATCATTTCTGGCCATTACGCTATCTAGTGCAGTGTTTTTCAACCTTTTTCATTTTGGCGACCCCCCGACCGTTCGCTTTTTTTTCATGCATTTTATAATGTTGCAAAGATGTTTGTAGGGACCGAATACTTCAATCCATACAACATTTGCATAATTAGATTTCGGATTAATCTGTCTTTATAATATTTTTTTAATGAAGCAGTTTTTACGACCTCTCGCGACCCCCCTTTATAGAGGCTTCGCGACCCCCCAGGGAGTCGCGACCCACAGGTTGAAAAACACTGCGCTAGTGTATGGTTACTAGCTGACCATGACTGATCAAACTAACTAACCGCAAAGACAGTCTTTACGCAACGTGAAAAATTTGGAACTCGAGTTACCATTAGCCCTCCTAAGGTTCCATTGATAGTCTTCACCGATTTTGTATTTTTTGATTAAAAGATTGTGATCACGTTTAAATGCATTTTACACGTCACACGTCGCATTTTTTAGATAAACGGGTCTGTCAAAGTTATTTGGAGTCGTCTGTGAATGTTACCGACCGATGAATAAAAAAGTTACTTGATCGCATGTCACGAACGATGCGTCATAATTCTTATATCCGGGTAGAAAAGATACTTCAAGAAAAAACCTTATTTTATCATTTCTAATGTTACTGTATGAATTAAGGAACACCGACCGACACGTTGGAAGATGTTTGAAAACGCTTGGTGCTCTCCTTTGAAGAAGAATTAGCTAGCTATATGGGTTTATCTCAAGAGCCATTTAACAGTATTTTAATCCGGTGGGAAAAGAACAGTGTAGTGAACTCAGAGGATTAGAATAAAATCACAATCAATTAACTACTATCAGATAGGGAATTTGAACCTTAACTTCGAACTTATATGTTCTTCTGATTAATTTCGTTGCAGGTCCACAGTTCAACTTTCCCCGTGGACAAACTCTTTCACAGGGTGGGTTTTTATTGGCGGTCAAGCTGTAGATCCTGGCTACACAGGAGGTTGCAGTAGTGGGAACGATATGTAGGAATAGTCCCGTGTCGGATCGAGAGAGGGGATAGTGTAAATTGTCACACTTCGAAGTAATCTAATGGGAGGCTGGACGTTCTAGATAGACTTGTTTAACAATATTTAATAAGTTTTAGTCATCGTTAGTGAATAATATCAAATATTGCAAAACATTATTACATTTAACTTTGTTTGTATTTCAAAGTACCTAGTAGCCGGATTTACATCACAAAGAAGGAAAATTATTATTAATTTTGAATGACGTATTTATTAATTATTATACCATTGTGATTATTTACCATGCATTGTTGATTATTATTTTCTATTGTGGAATACAGTTTTCACCTACTCAAGCTATTTCTATCAACTAAATTACCTACTAATAGGAATTTATTTCAGTTTACGTTAAGAAAACTTTCAATATTGCTCGTACATGTACAAAAAAGAAATAATTTTCAGAAGTTTCTTTTAAATGCCGTTGCACGTCATCAAAGTCGAATGTAGCTGAACAATTAATCAAAATTAATGAAGATCGCCATGTACCTTCATCTTTCATGAAATAAGATATTTTAGGATTTAACTGTAACAAATACAAATACAATTATTTTACTTATGCAAACACACCGTTTACGCATACACCTTCAAATACAATAAACAGAAATAACCCTTCATTTATCTAATAGAATAATTGATAGAAATACTTTTTTAAAAACAAACAAACTCACCCATTAACTTAACCCTAAATATGGCACCGTCTTTTGAAATATTTTCGTTAAGGTCTAAAAATAATGAACAATTTGAACTTATTCTTGTTAATAAATAGTATTACATAATTATACAGTTTGCATAACATTAGTGATTAAATGTTGGTTGAACCAATTTTCCATTACATTTTCCATACAGTAATGAAGTTTGAGAAAGCGAATAATAAAACAGATACAGAGCTTACATCTTCGGTTTGTTAGTCCGCAATAAAACTCGAAATACATTCAACAAGCGTACAGAGATACTTTTAGCCTAGACAGTTTGTTTAGCGGCCTGAAGGAAAACAATTAAGCAGGTGGCTGTTCAGTGGTTTAGGAAAAACTAATAATGTTATTTTTATTTTTATGTTACAGTAAAGTAATCTTACTGACATAATGTAGTTCGTTCCTTTGTTTGGGGGCGTCCATTAATTACGTGAGACGTTTAGGGGAGGGAGGGGGTCAAGAAAAATCTCACTAAATCTCATGTAGGGGAGAGGGGGGGTCTCGACAAATATCAGGTAATTTTTTTCAGCGAGAAAAAAGGTCAAATTGTGAGAAAACTGGGTTATTTTAAATAAAAAAAAAAATTAAAATTATAATGATAAATTATTATTTTTTTATTCTGAACCGATTAAACAATAAAGAAATTAGAAGAAACGGTTTTTTTAATATTAAATCCTAATCTAACTAACCCTTACATTGCAAATATGTATTTTAAGAAATCTCACGTGAGATTGTGGGAAGGGGGAGGGGGTCTGGAAAAATCTCACCAAATCTCACCAAGGGAGGCGGGGGGGTTTAAAAATTGCCAAAATTGACTCACGTAATTAATGGACGCCCCCTTTTAGCCAAATCACGTTCACTGCTGGACAAAGGCTTCCAGGGATTTCCTAAACGACCGGTCCTGCGCTGCCCACATCCAGGTCCTTTCCGCGACCTTCTCCACATCGTCAGTCCACCTACGGGACTATTCCCACCTCTCTTTCCCACCACTGCAACTCCTGTATAGCCAGGATCTACAGCTTGACCGCCAATAAAAACCCAACAATGACGTGAGGCTGACAATAGTGTCTGAGTTTCTTGAGCTGCTTCTTCTCAGCACTGGCCCATTTATTGTCCTGAAGCAGTGATAGGGTTAATACTGGGACGTGTAAAAGTGCTTTTTTAAGCCTACTTACAGAAATAAATGAGTTTTACTGAGTTTTTTTTTACAACCAGTGAATATCAAGTTTGTCCCGGGGAAAGTTAAACTGTCATTGGACCCGCAACGAAATTAATCAGAAGAACATAGGAGGAGTTCGAAGTTAAGGTTCGACTTCCCTCCGTTGCAAATGACAGGTGACAAACAAAGGTTTAAATAGTAACTTTTATGAAAAGATATGCGCCACGGACAATAAACGTCAGTCCACCTAGTCTTCCACTGTCTTCTAACCCGTGGGCGCCATAGACTTTTCTACCGCAGCGGCCATCAGCGCCAATTTATTATAACAATTCTTCGGGCTATGTCGGTCACTTTGGTTTTCCAGCGTATTTCTTAAGGTAGCTAGGTAGATTTTTTAACTAGGCATATACGCCCGGTTTCCACCAAAGCAGAGAAAACGGGAGATTCAGTTATTTCCACATCGTCTCTCCGTCCAGCTTCGGTTCAGAAATCTGATTGGTTATTCAAACATTATCTTCTCTCCGTTTTGGTGGAAGCTCCACTTATCGCGGCCTCCACACTTACAGAATTTATTTATTATCTATAGAGGTAGATAAAGAAAAGTTCTCGAGTGGCGACCACGGGCTGGAAGACGTAGCGTGGGCAGGCCTCCTACTAGGTGGTCCGACGATCTGGTAAAGGTCGCGGGAAGAGCCTGAATGCGGGCAGCGCAGGATCGTGCATTGTGGAAAACCTT